TGGGTTTTTAAATATATATATATATATTTTGAATGGCTATAGGCCCAAGATGTTTACTCTGTCTGCATAGTGCGTGCTCCCTCCCCCACTTTCTATTGCGTTATAGTTGGCCACATTACATACTTCTGCTACTTCCATGGCCACTGAAGGCAGGAGCTTATGAACCCTGGTATAGACTCTTCAGTTGTGTCACTTGGTGCTCTTTTGTTTATTGGCTTAACGTTAACTTAGTTCTAAATTTTAAAAAGTATTTTAAAATGGAAGTGATCCTTTACAGTTTATCGGCACTGGTCATCGTTCCTTGGTATTTAGCTGGGTTTCCTCCCACTAATCTTCCAACTGTGCTTTAGAAATTGAAGTCTGAGGGGCGCCTGGGTGGCTCAGTCAGTTAAGTGTCCGCCTCTTGATTTCAGCTCAGGTCATGATCTCAGGATTGTGAAATTGAGCCCTGCATTGGGTATGCTTTGGGTGTGGAGCCTCTTTAAGATTCTCCCTCTCCCTCTGCTCCTCCCCCCGCAGCTCATGTGAGTGCACTCTCTCACTGTCTCTCTAAAAAAATAAATAAATACAAATAAAACTCTGAGATATGAAAAATAGTAAAAGAGCTCCGTCCATGTGCAGGGTAGGAGTATTTGGAAGTGTGTACCTTGGTTAAGTACCCCAAAACTTAATGACTTACACCAACAGTCCTTTTTACTTGCTCACAGTTGTGTGGGTCAGCTAGGACTCAGCTGGGAGGTTCTGTTGATGGTCTTGTTTGGGGTTTCATATGCTTGCAATCAGATGGCAGCTGGGCCTGGAAGATGCAAGATTGCTCTCCTCACTTGTCTTTGTCTCTGTGGGGATCACTAGCTGTGACCTCCACGTGGCTAGTATAGGGCTCTGTGCAGGCAGGTGGAGCCCAGGAGGTAGCATCCCGAGAGCACGGGCATCACACTCGCTGGTGTGCCACCGTGGGCGGGGCCTGCACTGGGCTGAGTGCCAGGAGACATGGCTCATCGGGAGCCCCAAAGTGCTAGGCTTTCCCCGTCCTGACACATACTTTCTGGAGCGATGGAACCAGGCAGGACACCAGGCACCCGAGATGGTGTGAGACGCCTTACTGGAAATTGCAGACTATTAAGTCAACAGATTGGTGAATGAATCCTCCCCGTCCCTTTCTTCCGTCCAGCTGCCATGGTGCCAAAGGTCGGGGCCGCTGTGAAGAAGAGACATTCAGGGGACAAAGTGATGTCTTCAGTTCTGAACACATAGCAGAGATGAAAAAGCTCAGCAGAAGAGTTGGAAAGGAGAGTGGAGGGACTCCCCAGGAAGTAGAACAGGAGCACTGCAGAAGCAGTGGGCAGGAGAGAAGTTGGGGGGCTGGTGTAGGAAGTGCAGTAGCCGCCCACAGGAGACGCATCATCCCTGGTGTCACCATTTCCTGGCTGTGGAAAGACAGGGGTGATCTGTGAATGATTTAGGTAGGGTTGCGTGGTGAGCCCTGGCATGACGTTCAAACCCACGTCTTTTTGACTCCCCTGTTGCTCCCTGTGAATGGAACACCCGAGTGTCCTGTTGGTTAGTGACCATAGGGTTGGGGTGGGAGTGCCCAGCAGTTTGGGAATGTCCAGTTCACGTGATCTCTCCATAGAAGATGAACTTTTGAGATGGATAGAATAGCGACAGAAACCTTTGAATGTGGAGAGGAGAGAGGATGGGGGACTGAGTGCAATGGCCTTTGTTTCCCTCATGATGACAAGGATGGGTACTGTGGAGAGGCTGGAGAAGGACTGAACATACTGTGGAAAGGGAGCACAAGACCGAATTCTCCAGGAGCAGTGAGGGAGTAGCTACCGCATCTGACGGAGGCTCGGGCTCCATGGGCACGTCTGTGTCCTCAGCACCTCTCGCAGCCTCCGGCGAGGGAGTGTGGCTATGCCGGGGCCTCGGAGGCCGGGCAGAATCCGGGGGACTTGGGCTGATCTGGGTCAGGTTAATTACCTTTCTTACTCCTCCAGTTTCCAACTCAAAGCAGAGCAAAATTTAAAGGCATTTTAGAATCAGTGAATCCATTAATGAGATTCTGGAAAATGGAAAACATACACAAAATGTAGAAATGGCACCAGTGTTTAGGTGACTGATGTGACAGGCACTCTGATGGCGCCTCACACATCCGTCATCCTAGTTTGCCCTCGCGAATCTCGAGGGGAAAGTGTAGTGTTGTCAGCGTCCCGGATCAGGTTCACTCACCTGCTGCTCAGTGCGTATGTGCAAGGTGGGAATTCAGACCCAGCCCAGTGGGACCCCAGGGCCAAATACATTCCACTCGGCCATTCCCTCTGAGCAGCAGGACAGGGCCCTGTCTCTCCGGGGGTCACGCCTGGCCCAGGGGGCTCGTGACCGTCCGTTGACCGAGTGAGTGCTAAACCAGTGGATGCTCATGCATTCAGAAACCGGCCAGTCCCCATGTGTGCTTCCCCAGTTTCTGGATTTGGAGGACGGTTGCTTGACTTTTAGCGTGCTCTTACTGTTCCGGGGGGTGGGGGGCATTTTCACACGTTCATTTGTTGCTGGGCCATGACTGTGGGTGGTACCGTTCGGAAAAACAGTTCATGAGTTCAGTGAGTGGTAGTATTTTCACCTGTAGTGTGTTCTCCCTTACAGTTGTCACTGTTAGTTCATTCCTTTTTTTTTTTTTTTTGAGATGTTATTTATTTATGAGGGAGACAGGAGCACAGGGAGAGGGAGAGGGACAAGCCGACACGGGGCTTGATCTCACAACTGAGATCTTGACCCGAGCTGAAACCAAGAGTCAGATACTTAACTGACTGAGTCACCCAGACGCCTCTAATTTACTTTATTTCTTAAGATACGGTAGGCTCCCAGTATTCTTGAATGCCCTCGGGATATGATATACTATGGAAATACTAAAATACCTAATAGTTTATATCATAATTGGGAAAGTAAATGGGATTTCTCATTAACAGCAACAAATTAACATTGTAGAATGCCTGCTGGGAGATGAGCGGGTACAGTGCTGCTTTGGGTACCCCATTTTGTGTCTCAGTTTACAGTTGCAACCCCGCAGTCTAATGATTATGTGTAATGTAAGTAGGATGCTGCAGGAGTCAGGGAAGGAAGACAGAAGCCTGGTGGGGAGAGCTTGCCTTTACGTACAGAGTTAAGGAGGAAGCTCCCTGTTTTGTTGCCATTTATATATGAGAGCAAATATATATACTTCTAAACTGCATTACTGCACAGAGCAACTCAACTTGACAGATGTGTGGACGCAATTTCCGAGACAAAGCATGAAACATAATATCTCGTCCCTTGGTTCTCATGCTTGTTCCGTGTAGATTGAAACGGCCGGCCGCTAGAGGGTCCCGAACGGACTTGAACAGGCGATCCCTAGAGGCTCGGTCTTCAGCACTGGAGCCTGGCACTAGGTTTAGAAACACAGGGACATGGGCTTGCTGTACAGAGCAGCATGCAGCAAGCGGCTTGTCAGCTGACACTGGTGTTAGGTTCATGGTCTGGAGGAAATGCAATAAAACAGCCACATCGTGCACACCTTGAACATTATGGTAAGTGGAGGCTTTCTGATGGGACTGTGGCGGCCGAGCAGGGTCTGGGACTAACATTTGCTGCGGCTTTTCTGAGTGGTTTTAAGGGAAGGACGGCTCTTTCGTGGCCCATTTCCCTGTCGCCCTCTGGCCTGTCTCCCCACTAAATGCTGTGGTCTGCCGTAGGTAGAGTGTAACTGTCCCTGTCTACAGTTAACCATTTTCTCTGTGCTCTGTTTCTTGCTGTTCAAACTGGAGCTGTGCGGTGTCTTCTTTTAGGATATCTATAATACTTGTGCTGAGTCATTTTGAGTTCAGTGAATGGGGAAAAGTTCTATTTTTAGCCCCTCAAGAACCCATGAGGGCAGCGGGTTGAGCAGAGTCATGTGCACCTGTCCGCCGGGTTGGGCCCACCTAAGAGAGACTCACTTCCAATTTAAACAGGACTTTTGACCACTGAATAAAGGTTCTCAGAAATACGTTTGTTCTTCTCATACCCTGTGAAGGGTTTTTCTTTCTTCCTTGAGAAAGAGAAAATTGTTAAAGTTGAAAAGTCTACACAGTGAAAGCTGATTTGTTTGTGCCAGTTTGCAGTATTCCTCTTTCTTTAACCTTTGGCTCTTTTTTTTTTTTTTAATTAATTTATTTATTCATGAAAGTCAGAGAGAGAGAGAGAGAGAGAGAGGCAGAGGCAGAGGGAGAGAAGCAGGCTCCCCGCCTAGCAGGGAGCCCAATGTGGGACTCGATCCCAGGACCCTGGGATCATGACCTGAGCCGAAGGCAGACGCTTAACCATCTGAGCCACCCAGGCGCCCCAACCTTTGGCTCTTCTGGTTAGCCTCCCTATTCCAGGCTCCTGTGTGCACTGTCCTTAGCTGCCCCCCACCCCCCCCAGTGGAGCCTAATGCCCTGCTCGTGACTAGTCAGAGAAAACCGAGCTTCTGTGCCCGCTCTCGGCTGTGGGGGCCGTGCACTGCGCTCTCTGTTGCCGTCATCAGTGTTCACTTCCCATAAGAAAACATTGGCCTTCTTTTCTCTAGACTGTGAGCTCCTAGAGGAGCTGCATGAGATTTGTGTGATTTCCCCCGCCCCGTGTATTGAGTCTGATAAAAGACCTTGCTCATGTAGATATCGAATATTGTTTTGGATGGTGACTGACTTGTAGCCGTATGACGGGCACATACGTGTGTCGGCCACACCGCAAGCAGATGCTACACCCCTGGGAGGACAGGCCGTCCTGGGAGGCACGTTAATGTTTTCACATTTTATCAGTAAGTGCCACTGACTGTACTGGATTCGTAAAATACGTCTGCTAGGTCTGATCAGCTCTTGTGTGGTTTAAATATTGCTAACGTATTTCATTTGGAACAGGGAAGATTGGTAAAACCTTTATATTAAACTAAGAGTGTACAAGGGCCTGGTAGTAAACTAACGGGTATTTTTGTTCTCACACAGAGCTCTGGTATCGAGACCTTAGTGGAGGAGCTCTGCTCCAGACTCAAAGACCTTCAGAGTAAGCAAGGTGAGTGCACAGCCTCCAGAACCCGTCCGCACACAGTGGGCTTCGGGCACCGAGGGATTTGACTCAGGAGATGCTAGAATCGGCCAGAGACAGACAAGAAGAAGCAAGTCTCTGTGTCCAGTGTGTCGCCATCCAGCAGCATGCTGTGCCTTGAGCTGCAGTGGCTTCTTGGTCACCCTCAGCAGTCACTCGTAGATAATCCCTGCTCTCAAAGGAGCAACTTAATTCACAGGTGCCCTCATTGGGGGTGGCGGGGGGTGGCAGGTATGTTTGGTGTCCTCTTCACATCGAAGTACAGGGATCAGGAGCAATATTTTCACTTTCCCATCCTCGCCCCCCCGTTGGTATCTGCCTGTAGACATCAAGGCCTCCAAAGGTTTCGACTCTATTTTAGGCCCAAAAGGAACTTCTGCCTTGGCTGTCAGGTTTTTTTGGAAAGGCGGTTTTGGGGCTCGTTAAAGTCATTTTGACTCATGAAACCTCACAGCTTCTTGTGGTAACTTTTCTGCAAGCCCTTGGTGAAAGCTACGTATTAAGGTCAAGGGTCTTGGTTTCCTTGTCTTCTCCATGGCCATTTTTGCTCCCCGCCAAGCTTGAGCCTTCTTGAAGAGTTTGTTTGTTTGTAACCGAAGGCAGTCCCGGGAGCTAAGCTGAGAGTTCAGCCCTTCGCTTCTGTTTTAGTTGACACACAGCCCTTGCTCACCTAGATGTTGTAACAGAGCTGATTGTAATGGGTTTTCTTTCTTTCTTTTTTTAAAAGATTTTATTTATTTATTTATTTGACAGAGAGAGAGGGAACACAAGCAGGGGGAGTGGGAGAGGGAGAAGCAGGCTTCCCGCTGAGCAGGGAGCCTGATGCACGGCTGGATCCCAGGACCCTGGGATCATGACCCAAACCGAAGGCAGACGCTTAACGACTGAGCCACCCAGGCGCCCCAAGAAAAGAGATTTTTATTAAAAAGGCAGATGGGTCTAGAGTTCTTTTAAAGCCATAAAGCCTTTATAAGTTCTGATTAAAGTTACTTGAAAAACTTTAAAAAACAGGAGCATTTATTAACTAGATATAAGACCTATCTTTCTGAATTTTTGTTTCGTAACAGAAGAGAAGATTCACAAAAAGTTAGAGGGGTCTCCCTCTCCAGAGGCAGAATTATCCCCTACAGCAAAGGATCAAGTGGAAATGTATGTAAGATTGTATTCAGTAATAAAGTGTGCATTTGTTAAAATCAGACTAATAACTGCTATGTGGTTTACAGTTTTTGTTTGTTGTCTTGTATTTAATTTCATATTTTATAATTCAGTAAACACTTGTTGAGCACTTACTATGTGCTTGACATAGAATTCAGACGTGAATAAGAGAGTCCTATCCTTATCCTACATATTGAATCAGTGTTTGTGAAATGAATGAATGGAGCAAGCAAGGTTATTATATATAGTCCATTCGCATGCTATCACACCAGTCCTTGGAGATAGCTGTGAGAAAATATGCTCATCCTTGTTTTACATACAAGGAGACCAAGTTTTCTCCCGCTGATTACAAAGAAATGTGGGCAAGTCATTGACCTTGCCAAGCTTGTTTCCTGAAGATGCTCCTGGATCTTTCTTTGTAAATGGTTAGTAAAATCAGCTACACTATAAGCAGAACTTCCTTATTATACATTTTATTTGAATCTTTGGAACTTCTCGAACTTAAGGTGAAAATAGCTCATATTGGCTGGTGTAGACCTGTGCCGTCCAGTGTGGGCTCCCTGAGCCACGTGTGGCTATTTAGCCCTTGGTATGTGGCTTCTTCAAATTGAGATGTGCTGTAAATGTAAAATTCTCACCAGATTTCGAAGACTTGGTATAAAAAAGAATGTAAAATACTGCATTAATATTTTTAAATATCAATTACATGGTGAAATGATAATGTTGTGGATGTATTTGTTTAAGTAAAATACATTATTAAATTCAGTTTCACCTTTTTTTCCTTACACTTTTAATGTGACTCCTAGGACATTAAAAATTATATTTGAGGCTCACCATGTATTTCTGTAGAAAGCTCTGGTAGAGGCTGAAGAGGAGAATCAAGTATAGGCCCTTTGAAAACATGGCCTTTTTTATCACTTCGTGTGTGACCTTGACTGTTGCCTCCAGAACGACAGTCCCCTCGGTAGGCAACCCGACTCCAGATTCTTGCTTTGGCAGTCTGTCTTGCTCTGAAATCTGTGATGGCCACCAGCTTCTTGGCAAATTGGAAACAACTTCTTCTTGTTTTCAAGCCCTGTAAAGGCAGCCTCCCCGGCTTCTCCTATCCTGCATTTCCCGTAGTCGCTGGTCTCCTCGGGTCTTGTGTCCGCACGCAGGCGCCCGTGCCTCACAGGCTGTCGTCCCTAAACTCCGTTTCCGGAGCGTCCAGGCTCTGCTGTGGTCCTCTTGTTCTCATGGTCCGTCCTCGGCTGCACCAGCATCCTCTCTTTGACCCCTCGAGCACCCTGCATAATCCCTTCTGTTTCCGAGCGCCTGCGGATGCCCGGCATTTCTCCTGAGAACACGTGGTGAGGACAACCACGTAATGTCCTGGCTCCACTTGCACATTAATTCCTTTACTCCTCCCAGCTCTGTGAGGTGGCTAATTATAATCCCCGCGTCTCGCAGGCCATGAAGAGGTCCTGTCACGGGCCTGAGGTCACACAGCTGGTCAGGGCGGAGTCAGGGCTCACAGTCCGGGAGCGCGGCTTTAGAGCTCATGCTCTGCGGCTTTCAGCTCCCTCTGTTTCCCCTGCTCCCAATGGCCTTGGGAGGTAAGTCCTGTCCTCACCAGTTTGTAGCTGAGTGTGTGGACCGAGACATCAGATAATGAGCTGACAGTCACATGCATAGTAAGTGACCGGAGCTGAGATCCAAATTCAGATACTTCTTCTCGCGATGATGTTCTTAATTAAAATGACAACTTTAAAGATAAAAACTGTCCTCTTCCCTATTTTCTAAATATTTCTAAGTCAGTGCTGACCTCAGTGCTGAACACAAAGGTGCTTGATACATGGGACTAAACGTAAAGCATATTTCACTGTATTGTTCTTTTTTTTTTTAAGTTTTAGTTTGTGGATGACGTAAATGTTGACCGTTGAAGGGAAATACCCCGTCACTCCACCTGGGAGGGAATGTTGTTTTGCTGTATCTCGTACATCTGAGTGCCTGCTTTTGAACTCTGTCCTCTGTTTTTCAGGTACTATGAAGCATTTCCACCACTGTCTGAGAAACCAGTTTGCCTGCAAGAAATCATGACGGTGTGGAACAAGTCTAAAGTCTGTTCTTACTCTAGCTCTTCTTCATCATCCACAGCCCCACCAGCTAGCACAGACACATCCTCCCCCAAGGACTGCAACAGCGAAGGCGAAGTCATCCAGGAAAGAAGCAACGAAGCACCCACCTCTGTACACGCGAAAACCCAGAGCAGAAGTAAAAGCGAGAAGGAGAACAAATTCAGTAATGGCACAATGGAAGAGAAGCCTGCTTTGTACAAAAAGCAGATCCGACATAAACCTGAAGGAAAGATTCGCCCTCGCTCATGGTCTTCCGGCTCGAGTGAAGCAGGCTCAAGTTCAAGTGGTCATCAGGGAGAATTAAAAGCATCCGTGAAGTGTGTGAAAGTCAGACACAAGACACGAGAGATTCGAAACAAGAAGGGGCGGAACGGGCCCAGCAGGCTCTCGCTGAAGCCCGGCGACAGGGCTGAGCGGGGCATGCCCGCGGGGGGGAGCAGCGGGGGCTCCTTCAAGCCGCTGTGCCGGCGCGGGAAGAGGCCCTTGAAGGACCCGGGGAGAAGGGACACCGGGAGTGCCGAGGGAAGAGACCTGTCCCTGGAGAGCAGAAACGACAGAGAATATAAAGAGGAACCACTGTGGTACACTGAACCAATTGCTGAGTATTTCGTTCCTTTGAGCAGAAAAAGTAAACTAGAGACCACATACCGAAACCGACAGGACACGAGCAATCTGACGTCAGAGGCGGTGGAAGAGCTGTCAGAGTCCGTGCACGGTCTTTGTCTCAGCAACAATAATATTCATAAAACATACCTCGCAGCAGGTACTTTCATTGATGGTCATTTTGTAGAAATGCCTGCGGTTATCAATGAGGATATTGACCTCACTGGGACCTCATTCTGTTCTCTCCCAGAGGACAACAAGTATCTGGATGATATTCATCTATCAGAATTAACGCACTTCTATGAAGTGGATATTGATCAATCCATGTTGGATCCTGGTGCCTCAGAAACAATGCAAGGAGAAAGTCGGATTTTGAATATGATTCGACAAAAAAGCAAAGAGAAAACAGATTTTGAGGCAGAATGTTGCATAGTGTTAGATGGAATGGAGTTGCAAGGGGAACGTGCAATATGGACAGATTCCACCTCTGTGGGTGCCGAGGGCTTCTTCCTGCAAGACTTGGGCAATCTGGCTCAGTTTTGGGAGTGCTGTTCATCCAGCTCGGGCGATGCCGATGGAGAGAGTTTTGGGGGAGATTCTCCAATTCGACTCTCTCCGATCTTGGACGGCACAGCGCTCAATCCGCATTTGCTTGCTGGCAATCAGGAGCTCTTTACAGATGTTAATGAAGGATCTGGCATAAACTCGTGTTTTTCAGTGTTTGAAGTGCAATGCAGTAATTCTGTTCTACCATTTTCGTTTGAAACTCTCAACTTGGGAAATGAAAATACAGATTCTAGTGCTAATATGCTTGGGAAAACCCAGTCTAGATTGCTAATATGGACCAAAAATAGTGCCTTTGAAGAAAATGAACACTGTTCTAATCTTTCAACCAGAACTTGTAGCCCATGGTCCCATTCGGAAGAAACACGTTCAGACAACGAGACATTAAATGTTCAGTTTGAAGAGTCCACGCAGTTTAATGCAGAAGATATTAATTATGTAGTTCCTAGAGTCTCGTCAAATTATGTAGATGAAGAACTTCTAGATTTTTTGCAAGATGAAACTTGCCAGCAAAACAGTAGAACGTTAGGAGAAATTCCTACCTTAGTTTTCAAAAAAAAATCGAAACTAGAATCTGTCTGTGGTATTCAGCTCGAACAAAAGCCGGAACACAAAACCTTGGCAACTGCTCGAGGGTGTGGCGAAAGCGGTCCACGTGGAGGCGGCTACAGCTCAGGGGTTATTAAGGACATTTGGACAAAGACGGCAGACGTGGAGAGAATCGACGAGGAGCTGTTCCCGGCGGACGCCAGTGACTGCTGCCGCTGCCTGGAGGCGGAGGCCGAGGGCCTGCGGGCGCCCCACAAGGCCGTGCAGCGGTCCGAGTACCGCCTATGGGAGGGGCACAAGGAGAGCGTGGCGAAGAGGGCTTGCGGTTCCGGGGCGCTCTCCAAGGTGGACGGCGGCGACTATACCACACCCTCGAAACCTTGGGGTGTGGCCCAGGATAAAGAGAACACGTTCATCCTCGGAGGAGTGTACGGAGAGCTCAAAACCTTCAGCAGCGACGGGGAGTGGGCAGTCGTGCCGCCCAGCCACAGCAAGGGAAGTCTCCTACAGTGCGCGGCTTCCGACGTCGTGACCATAGCTGGTACCGACGTCTTCATGACCCCAGGCAACAGTTTCGCTCCCGGTCACCGGCAGTTATGGAAGCCCTTCGTGTCCTTCGAACAGAATGATCAGCCGCGGAGTGGGGAGAATGGATTAAATAAGGGATTTTCTTTTATCTTCCATGAAGACTTCCTAGGAGCTTGTGGTAACTTTCAGGTTGAAGATCCTGGGCTTGAATATTCCTTCTCTTCCTTTGACTTAAGTAATCCGTTCTCACAAGTTCTTCACGTAGAGTGTTCGTTTGAACCCGAAGGGATTGCCTCTTTCAGCCCTAGTTTTAAACCGAAATCAATCCTCTGCTCCGATTCAGACAGCGAAGTTTTTCACCCCAGGATCTGTGGCGTCGACAGAACACAATACCGGGCTATTCGCATCTCTCCTAGGACTCACTTCCGCCCAATTTCTGCGTCCGAGCTGTCCCCAGGAGGAGGAAGTGAGTCGGAATTTGAATCTGAGAAAGATGAAGCAAATATTCCCATTCCTTCTCAAGTTGATGCATTTGAAGACCCACAGGCCGATCTGCAGCCACTGGAAGAAGATGCCGAGAAGGAAGGCCATTACTATGGAAAATCGGAGCTTGAGTCTGGAAAATTCCTTCCCAGGTTAAAAAAATCTGGCATGGAAAAGAGTGCTCAGACATCACTGGATTCTCAGGAGGAATCAGCTGGGATTCTGCCAGTGGGGAAGCAGAATCAGTGTTTGGAATGTAGCATGAATGAATCTCTGGAAATTGCTTTAGAAAGCTCAGAAGCAAATTGTAAAATAATGGCACAATGTGAGGAAGAAATTAATAATTTTTGCAGTTGCAAAGCAGGTTGTCAGTTCCCTGCTTATGAAGATAATCCAGTTTCTTCGGGACAGCTGGAAGAGGTAAGTGGTTGTCTGTGTGTGTTGGTGCTTGATAGAAGTTGTTGATTGGACTTGAATGCAAGAGCAGCCGAATCAGGCAATGAAAGGGTAGGGTGAAATTAATTGGGAAATTAGCTTCAGTGTCTGAAAACTTACATGGTTATGATTTTACATAAGGGCTTAAAACGGGTTTGATACTTATAAATTGGAAGTAGACCGTGGACCTTTTCTGCAGAGAAAAGACATTTTTAGATCATAAGGTAGAAGATTTTGTCTTAATACGCACGTACCGTGCTGCAGACCGAATACACTGGCATTCCAGCCTTCGAAGCTGATGGATCACAAAGTGGCTGTTTACTCCTCGGAAGGCCCTGCGTGCTCTTCGGAAGCAGAAGCAGAGGGTCTCTTGAGGTAGCAAGCACATCTCATGGTCTCCGAAACGCTGATCAGTTTAGAACTTAGGTTTTTCATGTAAAATAAATTACATCCTGTATAGAGTTCTCTAAAGCAGATGGTGGTACGTGTAAAAGCCCACAATCCTAATGCAACAAAAGAGCTGTTACAGAACCTACATGGATGGACCTCATCTTATACCAAGTGCCTATTCCTAAAGCTATGTGACTCACACATTAAAATGAGGCTAATAGTGGTAGTTTTGTGAATGGGAGTCATTGTACCCTTTTGACTATTTCTAAGAAGTGGTTTGAGGTTAAATTGAGTGTGCAAGAAATATCAGTGAAGGTCATAACCTGTTTCACAGAAAAGCACAGCAATCTGCCCATTTCTCAGCTGTTACTTGATCAGCAGTGCCTGACCTGTGTCCAGGAGCAGCTTAGTAAAAAGGCAGTTGGAGGTGCTCGGAAGTCATGCCGCCTGTGGCTGGAGAGCAGCTGAATGTCCCCCACTCCCCCACCCCCTGGCCCGGTGCACGTTCCCCCCACCTCTGCTACCGCTAAATCCTACCCAGGTAGCAAGGCTATCTTCAGACCGCCCCCCGCTTCTGATCCTTGTCCTAATTCTTCCTCTCTCCCCTCTCTCCCATCCCCACCTACATCAGAACTAATGCCTCCCTTCTCTCTTCATGCATGATGCCTCTTTTCCTGTTGCAGTTTCCACGTTTATGAGTCATTATGTACTTTCTCTCGTTAGATTATCTGTTCCTAATGGAAACAGACTGTGCCTTCCTCGCTTGTGGGGCCAGTGCCTGGGGTGACCTGAGTGCGTGTGGTGGGAGGAAGCCCTACAGACGACTCAAGGGTCACTGCTCTGAGTAGCCTGCCCAGAGACCCTTAGCGGGGCATGCATTGGGTCTCACCGAAACACTGAAACGGAGCTGCCAAGAATGAAAAACAATAATGTTGTTAGCCTTTACCTGTTTGTTTATTGCCCCACTTTTTATCCTTGAATATTCCTTTATGTACTTTGTATTTCACCTGGTTCCAGATTGGGAAGAAAGAAAAAGAGGGAAGAAGCGAGATTCTACATCATACCACTGCCATATTCCTTCGCTTTCTAGTATGTTGATGGATTTATGTGTTATCAGAATTCTGGGTTGTCTTGGAAGGTCTCAGGCGCTAGTAAAGTCCTGAGGGACATTGTGGGGTTGTCTGCTGGGGTCGGCGTGGCCGCTCCTTTCAGCTCCGGCCTCTGGGCGCCGGTGCCACGGTGTAGAGTCAGGGTGGCGCTCACGCCCTAGATGGATCTGAGGTTCGGAAAGGTTGAGTGACCTGAAGGGACAGTGTGGGGACCAGGCTGGGACGAGAGTGTATGCCTTTCCACTCTCACACTGCCTGGGCAGTCCAGGGGAGCCTCCTACAAGGGTCGTCTTCTCCCTTTTCCTGAGAGAGGACACTCTCGGAGCCCTGTTGTAAAGGTCACTGTTGAAAGGCCACCTGGTCCAGAGCAAATGGACTAAAATGTAGGAATTCTAGGGGCACCTGGAGGGTTCAGTTGGCAGAGCATCGACTCTTGATTTCAGGGTGGTGAGTTCACAAGCCCCATGTTGGGCGTAGAGTTTACTTGAAAAGAAAACACTTAAAATGTAGGAATTTTAATGGAATTGGTGTCCAGGAGCATGGATTCTTTTCAAAAGCTTAGTTCAGTCAGTTCAGCAAACATTTTCTGAATACCCGTTACATGCCCATCACTAAGGTAGGTGTCCTGTGTGAACAGGTCACCGTCTTTGCACTGGAAGCAGTCAGTCTAGTTACAAAGACCACCTTGGAAGTAGACAATTTACTTTAATTGAAATAGGTCATTTATTCACATGGCTCAAATTCAGAAGTTACAAGAGGGTGTGTACAGACAGTGAACAGGCTCTCCCCAGCGGCAGCTGCGAGCTTGCGTCCTGGCCCGTCTTTCAAGGGTATTTGTGCATGTAGAAGCAAAGGCATGTTCACATACGTTTCCTCTTCTTTTTTCTCTTTTCACAGAAATGGCACTTTATTATAATCACCCTTCCCTTTTGGTTTCCTGCATCCTCTTCCATTGTATGGACAGATGTATTAGGATTTACCTAGCCAGTTCCTTATGTTTTAGGGCATCTGGGCAAATGTAATCGTAGGGAACAGGGGAGGTGGCGTGGTGGAGGTGAGCACAGAATGCCTCAGGAGCCCAGAGGAAGCTGTCCCGACAGTGAGAGTTGAGGGAGGCTTGTTGCACGCACCTGAGCATCCCGGGGCAGAAGGGAGAGGAGGCCGTTTTAACCGCAGAGGGTGTGCGGTGGCATCAGAGGGCTCTGATGAGTAGAGGGGGTGGGGGGGCCATCCTTGGAGTGTGGTACCTGGCCCCCCCGTGCCAGGCGCTGTGCCCACTCTGCTGTCACCGTTATCCCACTGAATGCCCACAGTGACCTTCTGCAATGGATTTCTGTCCCCTCCCCCTGACTATGAAGACCATGTAGGCCCAGAGGGGTGGAGTCCCTGCCCCTGAGCCCAGCGTCAGGGATGGAGCCTGAGTTCTTTCCGCTGCTTTGCCACGCAGGGTCTCTTGTTGGTCTCAGTGGCCCTCGGCAGCCCTTCATCTACATGGGCTTGCTTTTCCTCTTGTGACCCAGATGGGTGGGAGCTGACTGGCTGAGGGCCCCTTTTCCGTGCTCTTCCGAGAGTAGAACTCAAAGAGGAACACCAATGACCTTAGTCTTCCCAAACCCGGGAGTACTTAGTAAGAGTTCGGAGAGGTGCCTCTACCCAGCTTCCGATGTCTAAAGACTGAGTATCCCATCTTTTGCTGAAAACATTTCTGGTCAGGCTTTCCGGCTTAAATTTACATCTTCTCTGTTTTTTCGCGGGTTCATTCATTTGTCGAGTATTTTTGGGGAGCCCTACTGTCGGTGCCGGTGTGGGTGCCGGCGACAGGCGCAGAGCCCTGCCCTGGCCGGTCACATGCAGCAGCGCATGCGATCCGTTAGTCGGTATGTGGTATGCTGGTGTACCAAGTGCCGTGGAGGGGGCCAAGAGCTGGCTCAGGGCTGGAGCACAACGGGGTCCTTGGAGGCCTTGCCGCAAGAAGCAGGGCTCGGGGCAGGCTTCCCGGCAAAGGTGCCATCTGAAGACAGGCTTGCGGGTGAGAAAGCGAGCCAAGCAGCTGTCGGAGAGGGAGAGCGGCACAGTGACAGGTGCCCGGCCTGCCCATGGCCGTGTCCTCGTCGGGTTTCCTTCCCTCCGTTCTCCGTCGGCCAGAAGTTGAATTCGTGCATCCAGCAGAGGTTATTTAAGCCAAGCATGGTCATCTTTGCTGTGCAACCTAGAGGCTGGAGACAGTGGACTGGAATGATGTCCTAAGATAATGCAGGTTCATTGAGTGTGTATTCAGTGTAGCAAAGAACAGGACAGAGAAGTCTCTGCCTTTTGGAATTGACTTTCAAGGGCAGGAAGCAGAAAAATTCCTAAAACTATAGCAGAAACTGGCGTGACTTTAACAGTGCTTTCAGCCCGAGGTGGGGGAGGTGGAGGGTGGTGGGCCAGATAATCCCGGACCTGCGCTCGTCCGGGTGGAGCCTTTTCTTCAGGCCAGCAGACATTGAGCATCCCGCTTTGTGTAGGCCCTGTGCCCGGAGGCGCACGGGTAAGTAAGACATGGGTGCTGCTCGTAAGGAGCTTCCTGCCTCTCCGCTCCAGTCTCGTCTAGCCTGCTCTCTGTTCATGCTGACGCCTCCAGCCTGCTCTCCCGGCCCTTTCCCACCCTCCGAGATGAGTTCTCTCTCCCTCCCTTTCTTACCCTTGATGGTCTCGGGACAGGGTCGCAGGAATAAACACTGATTGCCCCCAGCAGCCTGGGACGTTTTCTTTTGCAGGTAGACACGTGCCGCCTCCGAATCCTCTGCCTTCAGTGGTGCCTTGGGGATGGGGGCAGCTGCTCTGTCCAGGGAGCCTTCTTGCTCCTCCCACACAGCACTAAGTTGTCATCCCACAGAGTAGGTGCGCCTTGCAGAGCAGGCAAGGCCTTTCTGGAAAGATCTAGGGGTTCTGGGAATTATGTGCCAGATGCAGTTAATTTCCTTCAACTAGCTGTAGACCTTGGCTGTTGTGGCTTCGTTTGCATGAAGTCAGCGGGGTGCTGACTACTGTCCTTGGAGTAAGCTGGGGGAGAGCGCAGTGAAGGTGAACTGGCCACTCTAGGTACCCAGTACCGTTTTCCTTCAGTGTCTAATTTGAGAGTATTTCTTTTTACAAAATTATGTTAAGTGAAAAATGAAGGTTGGAGGTGTTTCCCATTAGTTAAATAATAAAAAACACATTATTGAATCAAAAAGTCTTTGACCCATAAGACAATTTACATGTAAGAGAAGAACAAAGTCCCATCAGAGGATTGAAGGTCGTTGGTTGCCAAGACTGCTCAGGCTTTAAGCTTGAACACACGGTGAAATGTCTTCTGAAGCAGTAGGCACATGCAGTGTCCACAGGCCTTATTTGGATTGAGTCCCAACGTCCTCTGGTTCTCAGCAAAGCACATAGTTGAGTTAAAAAGACACGTAGGTTGGTAACTCTGCCTACACAGTTTCCTTCGTCCCATACTGTCGTCTTTGACTCCCTCCTGCCCGAGTGTGTAAAGGTGAAGAGGGTCCTCTCTCTTCCCTGGAGTGTCTCACACCAGTGGAGACTTAGGGCCACCCCGTCATTTTTCTGCACTTCCCAAATCTAGAAATTTGCCTTGCCTGGGGATATTCATTGGGGATATTTTGCCTTGTAAGGGTTTTATTGTGTTTTTTAAAAAGATCTTCACTCCACTTCCAATATAAGTCCTTCTTAAAAGCTTCCTTTATATGTTATGAACACTTTGGCTTTTTTTTTTTTTTAAGATACTTATTTGAGGGGTGCCTGGGTGGCTCAGTCGTTAAGCGTCTGCCTTCGGCTCAGGTCATGATCCCAGGGTCCTGGGATCGAGCCCCGCATCGGGCTCTCTGCTCAGTGGGAAGCCTGTCTTTCCCTCTCCTACTCCCACTAATTCTGTTCCCTCTCTCGCTGTGTCTCTGTCAAATAAAAAAAAAAAGATATTTATTTGAGAGAGAGAGAGTGAGAGAGAGCACGAGAGTGGGGTAGGGGCAGAGGGATAAGCCAGACTTCCCGACGAGCAGGGATCCCCATGTGGAGCTCAGTCCTGGGACTCCAGGATCGAGACCTGAGCCACCCAGGCGCCCCAACACTTTAGCTTTTTAAATTCACCTTGTTGGGATGTCTGGCTGGCTCAGTCAGTGGAGCGTGTGACTCTTGATCTCAGGGTCGTGAGTTTGAGCTCCACACTGGGTGTAGAGATTACTTAAAAATAGTATCTAAAAAAAATTAATAAATTCACCTCGTCTAGAACAGTATTAAAAATAAAAGTCATCAATTTAAAAAATTCTGGATTTGTAGTTCCTAGTTAATAATGTTTCAATTTTCTCCTTTATCCTGACAGTTTGTAAACTTTTTCTGTTATTTGTTTAACCTAAACAGTTTCCCGTATTGAACACTGATGTTCAAGGAATGAATAGGAGTCAAGAAAAGCAGACCTGGTGGGAAAAAGCCTTGTACTCTCCTCTCTTTCCTGCATCAGAGTGTGAAGGTAAGGAGCCCTGTGTTAGGTCATTGGTTCATCCACTCATTCGGATTTCTAATTCATTAAGAGCAATACGTTCTTTCCCTATGAATAGCAGTCCGAAAAGCACTTACCAAGAGGCTTTTGTGTAGCCAGCATTTGTCAGGCACTGGGGACACAGAGATGAGTGAGAACTGGGGCCCACCCTTAGCCTGATGTGGGGAAAGGCATGGAAATACACAAAGGCAGGACCGACCTTTGCCAAAACCTGTTCAGGATCGCAGTGAATCGTGAGGGGAGTGGGGGGTGGGGGTAATCACCTGGGTTGGGGGAACTTCAGGAAGCCGCCCGGGCTGGAAGGGCAGACCCTATGAAAGGAACAGCTTGCATGGGGGTAAGATGGACTCTGGCAAGTGGGCCCAGCTGGGTTGTAGCTGAGGCTAGGAAGGCGGATTGAGGAAGGCCATTGAGAAGATGGCAGATTGGAGGGTGTCAGGTCCGGTGTGTGTTTTAGAAGAGTTCTAGAAGCAGAGTGGAGAAGGGGTTTAGCAGCTGGGGTTCTGGGCCCCCGCCGGGGCTGTCTGGGAGGCCCAGGGCCAAGGCCTGGCCTCAGGACCTGCAGGGGGAGTAAGGGAGAGAGCAGCACAGAGAGGTCTTGTCGAGGATGCCGGCTCCTCGGGGAGTGACTCTCCGTGAGGCGTGGGCAGCAGGAGGGCTTTGGGGGGGGGTTCCGGCAGGGGGCAGACAGAACAGTAGCACATTGGGTGAAGGTGATTTGGGTCTGTGAGCCTTCCGGGAGGACATGCTCAGCAGCTGTAAAAACTCTCGAAGTCTGGGGAGGAGTCAGGGCTGCGGAGGGCGTGCTGCCAGCTCCCCGGCTGCCCTGGGCTGTGGCATCGACAGTCTCTGCCGCTGGAGCTGGAAGGGGCACGTACGCCGTTGGTTAGTATTCACACGTTCACGGGTCTGGCGTGTCTCCCGGTTCGTCTGTAATGAACGTGGAGCCTCGCCGCTTGCTGCCCACCGAGCCTGGTGCACTCCGGTGCTCGGGTGCTCGGGACGCTGACGCCCACCTCCCTCCGCAGCCCAGCCTTCCCCCACTGGGGGGACGGCGGGGCTGTTTGCTTCTCTCTGTGCTCTGAGCCCCAAGATGCCTTCCCCAGAGCCTGCCTTCCTCTTTCCCAGAGGTTCACTGGGTCAGAAAGAGCGCGTAGAGCAGAGTCTTCGTTTTTAGCATCTTTGTTTATTTAACCGCATTTATTAAAGACCTGTCATTCTACTGTTAGCTAATATCTGGGTTGCCTTTTATGGTTTACAAAGTGCTCCCAATCTTTCCTTTTACATAGGCCGCACCATAGCCTTGTGAGATGTCAGCCTTAGTTTTCAGATGAGGAAGCTCTAAGACTCAGGTTTGACAGTTTGTCCAGAATCCTGCATTAGCCGTTAAGTTCAGGTTTGCATCCAGACTGTCTTCCTATGGCCAGAAGCTTTGCGCTCTACAGTGGCTATCTGCACTCAGTGCCCAGGGAAGCGCCAGGGTGAGGGGAGCACAAATCTGGCCTTGACGTAGATCCATTCTGTGCACCCGGTGAGTGTCCAGTCACTGATGAGTTAACTGGAATACAAGTAAGGGGGGGCCCGAGGGCCCCAGAGTAGTGCCGCTAGAGGGAGAGAGAGAGGGAGGGAGGGAGAGGGGTAGGGGGGAAGGGGAGAGAGGGAGGGAGGGGGAGGGGGGAAAGAGGGAAGGAGAGCGAGAGGGAGGGAGAGAGGGGGAGGGGGAAAGAGAGGGAAGGAGAGAGAGAGAGAGAGAGAGGGATGTGGCAGCAGGCAGTGCCTGGGGTCAGGAAGACCAATCCCTGTGAGGGTTTAGTCTAGTTTTCTTTTTTTTTTTTAAGGTTTTATTTATTTATTTGACAGAGACACAGCGAGAGAGGGAACACAAGCAGGGGGAGTGGGAGAGGGAGAAGCAGGCTCCCCACAGAGCAGGGAGCCCGATGCGGGGCTTGATCCCAGGACTCTGGGATCATGACCTGAGGCGAAGGTAGACGCTTAACGACTGAGCCACCCAGGCGCCGCAAAGATTTTATTCTTTTTTTTTTTTTTTTAAGATTTTATTCTTAAGTAATCTCTGCACCCAATGTGGGGCTCAAACTCACAACCCCAAGATCAAGAGTTGCATGCATTACCGACTGAGCCAGGCAGGCAGCCCTAGTCTAGTTTTCTATCATTAGTTAGTAAGGAGTCAGTCCCAACCCTTAGCTCTGGGTCCTGGGTTTCTGTACAATCCCGGGTTGGTGCTGTAAGGGATGGTTAGTGCACGGTGCTTTTTTTATTGTGAAGTGGCAAATAGAGAAACTCTCAGTGGGTAGATAATGGCAACCAGGCTTTGGAGTGACCTTCAACTCACAACTGTGCATTAAATCCCTGCAGTTGCCTTGTGATGGTGACGTGACGAGCCTCACTCTCTCAGCCTGTGGGGGTGGGGACGTGCAGTCTCAGGAGCAGGTTGGCCAGGAAAACGAGTAGCCTCTTGCCTTCTCAGCAGGAGTGACTGGAGCCCCTTGTCTCCACCGCTGAAACTCCCAGTGTGGCTGGTGGTTAATAACAAGAGTCAGGGACTGACCTGGAAGCTTTTGGCCTCCCTGGGAAGGAGGGGGGCTGTCCCTTTTTACAGTGAGGCAGGAGATGGAGGCTCGGAGTGAGGCGGCTTGTCCATGCACCCTGCAGCGGGGCGGGGGAGGGGGGCGGGGGGGGGCATCTGGCCTGGAAGCCCCGGCCCTGCACTCTGCCACCTGCTGGCCTTGCTCTGCCTTCATAGACCCGTGCCTGCCTTGTGCCAGGCCCTGGGAACACTCCAGGTGAGCTGATGTCCTGGCACAAGCGGAGGGAGTGAGGACGCCAGTCCTGTGCCAGTGGGGCTACCTGCAGTGGGAGGTGCCAGGCAGCAGCCCTGGCTGGTGCGGGAGCAGGATGCATTTGCTGTGCCCCAGTGTGCCCGACTAAGGGGAACGGTACGAGAGTGCGGTGGGGACAAGGTCCGCCGGAAGCCAGCAGCCAGAGCACGAGGGCCTTGCATGCTCCATGCCACGACGGGTCTGCCCTCAGTGGCGGTCTCCAAGCTCACGCACTGGATTCTGAACATTTGGAAGGCTCATTGTAAGTGTGTGGGTGTTATTTTAGTTCTATGGAGAAAGCCCTGCAGGGAAAGTGTATAGATAACAGTTAAGGGCTCGGGAGACAAAACGGAGCTGGAGTCCAGGGCCTCTGTTGCCAGCTGGTAGACCTGGGGCAGTGACCAGACCTTCTGTGTCTCCATTGTCTGTATTTGTAAAAAGAGGCCAAAGATAATACTTCCCTGAGGGGGTACTTGTGCCGAGTAACTTGCATAACACAGGCCTAGTACATGGGAGCTGTACATGGGAGCTGTCCGTGGGCGGGTCACGAAGAACGTGGTCTGCAGTCAGCACTCCCTTTTCCTAATGCCTGTGGTGTCCCGAACTTCTGTATGTACAGAATGCCGAAAGCAAGGCCGGAAAGTGCAGTAGTCCGGAGGAGGGCTGGGTCCGGCTCCACCCCTAGTCCAGGAGATCGTCACTTCCCCGACGGTAGCTAGCTGGCGGGGTGCGCGGAGCCCGTGAGAGCTTGATCAGGCGAGCCGAGGCGAGGATGGCCGCCCCGAGGCGGTGAGCACGCCGGGGACTTGGTTAGCAGCCAGCGTGCCAGCGCTGTTCTTGCGGCTGGCCGCACGTCATCTCTTTAAACTTGCACGGGGACCCCATGAGGGCAGGTGGTGACCTGTTTTAGAGATGAGGGAGCTGGGCTCAAAGAGGGTCGGTCTTCTGCCGAGTTACATCACAGATGAGTGTCAACCAGGGATCCACTCATGTCTGTGTAGTCCCAGAGCCCGGGTTATTTTCATGAACCTGAGCTGGTAACTTCGAGGTCCTGAGGCAGGCAGAGAGGGCTAAAGATCCTGGAGAACATGATGTGGCCAGCACCTGATGGTGGGAGGGCACAGCGGTCACTGAGCGTCGGTCCTGTCCTCTCCGGTGTCACGCACGGGTAGCATGTCATCTCATTGAACACCTCGTGGTAACTGGACCGCAGGCAACAGGAAACAGATGCTCCGTTGGGGCATTACAGGACTTGGACACAGTGATTCAAAGCCAGGGTCCACGTCGGGCCTACCGGCCGTCTCCTCTCTCACTGCTGTGTCTGCAGCTGCGTGGGGGGCTGGTCTGGATTAAGACTGGTGGGGGTCAGCCGTGGCTGCGCATCAGAACACCTGGGAGCTTTTCAGACCAGTTCAGTCAGGATCTCAGGTGGGGGCCTGGGCTCGCAGACTTGGCTTCAGTGAAGCTCCCAGGGCTGAGAACCTTTGCACTAAATGATTTATTTGATTCCTTCTAATTCCAGCTTCCAGTTCCATCCCCTTCTGTGGGCCACTACTCAAACCACTAGCCTCCTTTCTCTTCCCTGTTCTGCAGATACAGGAAAGATGTACTTTAGTGCGGTGTTGACTTGGGAGGGAACAAATGAGGTGGTTACCCTGTTTTGTCTTCCCCACTGCACTTCCCCTGTCTGCAGTCCCTCTGTGTAGTTGTTAGATGAACACACACACGGTGCATCGTCTGTCTCCCTCCGTACGCTCTTGAGAGCTTGGGCCTGTGTTCCGAGGGCTTACCCCACTACAGGTGTGAATATGTGTTTGTTGAATGAATGTCTCGTGCTGGGATCACAGGCATGTCTGGGTTATGCCAGCCTATTTTTTAACCAACTGAGCCACCCAGGCGCCCATGCCAGCCTATTTTTTAAAAACTCAATGAACAGTGTATTAGAATTTTTAAATTGGCGTAGCATTTTGCTCGTGCATACTGGCTTGGCTGGTGGTGCCCATGTCTGCTTTTAGTGAGTACTTAAATTCTCCAGAGGGTTGGTACACCTGACTGGTCTGACTTCAGCAAAAAAGGAAACAAAAATGTCTGTTTCATAACCGTGTCTTAATGAAATTTCCCCCCCTTTCCCTCTTTTCCCTTCTCCATTCAAAATGATTAAGAATGTTATACAAATGCCAAGGGAGAGAATGGTATAGAAGAGTGTCCAGATGGTAAAGACATACCCAGTAACGAAGAGCGTCTGTTAGATTTTAATAGGGTAAGTGGACTGTCCTCCTCCTTACTAACTTACTAACGGCCACACCCCCTTGCCACTCAGTCTGGAGCCTGGGAGCCCTGGGAGCTCCCCTCACCCGCCTTCCCAGGTCAACCAGCTCCATGGCCCTCAGCCCCTGCCTGCATCGCCTCCCACCCCATCCGCTGACTACCAAGGCTTCCCACGCCCCTGCCCTCACTCCCCCCCTCCCCCGTCCTTCCCAGTGCTGCCACAGGGAATCTCTGCATACCAGTTGGACCTTGTCACTCCCTCAGAAGCCCTTGGGTGGGCACCACCAGGGAGCCCTCCGGGTGCTCTCTGCGGACAGACCCCACCATCCTGTGCCCTCACCACGCCCAGTGTGGCACTCTGGTCTCAGCCTTGGCCCCAGGCTGCTTTCGGTTTCTGTACCACCGCCTCCCCACCAGGCCATTGAGCTCCCATTAGGCAGGCAGGCCGCTGAATCGTAGGAATGTCTCTCTTCTCTTTGTTAGCTCAGGTCCTCTGAGGACTTTTCCCCCAAAGCACCCTAGGGTGTTGGCACCTACGGTCCTGTCTTTCCCACCCCGGTGAATGGTACCCTGCAGCATACCCCACTGCCGCAGCCACGCCTGGGAGCCGCTCTCTGGCCCCTGGCCGCCCCGCCTGTCAGCCGTCGCCCTCCTCCCTCCTCCCGTCTCCCGCACCCTGTCCAGGCTGAGCACCCGCTCGCCAGTCCTCACAACCCCTGACGGGCGCCGTCACTGTCCCATCCTGCACAGACTCGGGACCGCCTGTCTGAGGCCGTGCAGCCACAGTGCTAAGTGCAGACCTGAGCCATGAGCCTCAGCTGGGACTCGGCGACTCCTGCTCTTAACCATAGTGGCCTTCCGTCACTGCACCTTGCCCAGAAAGGCCCTGTGGGCTCTGCTGTCACGTGCCTCCGGCCCCACATCCTCTCTTCTCCCCTCCGTCCTTGTGGCTGTCTTCTGCTTCTGCCTCAGGGGTCCCAACCAGGGATGGTGCTGCCATTTGGAAATGGGGGGTGTTGGTACTATGACTGGGGGGTGCTGGGTACTCTGAGGATGGGGGTGTTCCTAGTTTCTGTGATGGGGGTGTTGCAGGTTCCTGTGACTAGGGGGGCGGGGTGCTGCTAGTTACTGTGACTGGGGGGTGCTGGTTACTGTTGGGTGGGGGTTTTGCTAGTTACTGTGACTGGGGGCGTGCTGGTTACTCTGGGGGGTGGGGACATTGCTCCTTATTGTGACTCGGGGAGGTGGGGGGATGTCGCTGGTTACTATAATTGGCCAGTGGGGGTGGCATGTTTCTGGTCACTGTGAGGGAAGGGGGCTTTGCTAATCACTTCAGGGGTAGGGGGAGCATTACTAGTTGCTATGGAGGGGGGAGAGTGGTGTTGCTAATTACTCTGACTGGGTTTGGGGAGCATTGGTAGTTACTGTGACTAGGGAGGGGCTGCCATTTGCATTCAGTGTCCTGGGGGACAGAGATGCTGACCATCTGGTGTGTGGGGGACAATCCCACACAGTAAAGAGTTTTTAGAACTCCAGTTCTGAAGCCCGGCCCCCAGGCTCCCAGGCAAGCTCTTGGCTGTACCTTGCACAAGGCTTGCTTCTCAGCCTTCAGGTGAGGACACTTCTCAGAACTCCCTTCCCGGTCACAGATGTCTGGCGTGTGTGTGTCCTGTCTCCGCCACATCACCTGGTTTACACCGCAGCGTGCAGTTGTGTTGGTTGGTCGGCTTGCTGTGGGCTCTCCTGGAAGGCGAGCCCGGGGAGGACACGGCCGTGCCGACCTCCCTGGGGTTCCCGGTGCTCAGCCCAGCCCCCAGCTGTGGCCAGGCCTTAGACACTGGTTTTGTGCAGCCTTCACACGTGCAACGTTTTGTCCCAGGGACTGAACATACAGAATTAGGATTTGGGACCCTTTATGGATCATGGAGGAGAGGTGGTTGGGTTTGCTCTGAAGCAGTGCAACTCTGAATTCATATTCTTTAGCTCTGCCAAGAAAGCCAGCGATTTGCCGTGTGACCTCTGTGTATCAAGAGTGTTTCATGTAGCCCTTTTGGAAAAAAGTCTGGCTTTTGATCTGCTGAAAACTGTTCCTTTCATCCCAGGTGTCTTCTGTTTATGAAGCAAGGTGTGCCGGAGAGAGAGATGCCGGAGCAGAATCCAGTGGCTTCCGCAGAAAGATCTACTCCAGCGCCGGCTCTGGCTCGGAGGGCTCTGGCTCGGAGGGCGGAGGCGAGTGGGCGGACCCTGGCGAAGAAGAGCTCTTTTCTCGAACTCATCTCTAATCCTGCAGAGTAGTACAGATTATTTTTTGAGAGTGATGTGATGGCAAATTACCCTTTTGTGAGGCCTGTTAATCTAAAGCAACAACTTAGGTTTCTTCTTCAATTAACTGATTCAGATCAGCAAATATCTTTCTCTTCTTGCTTATTTTAGAGTTGAGGACAGCTATCCTGTTGAAGATTTTTTGTTTTCCAAGCTGTTGAATTCTTGGCTATTTGAAATAGACTAGATTGTGTTGTCCAATCAAGAATGGGTGTGCATGTGCTTGTCTAGAAGCATCCCTGCTTTCCGCATCTTGACTGCAGTTGCTGTCTGTCCTTCCAGCTGCAGCCCGGTCTCTGTCACCTTAGCTCCGCGGTGTCCGCAGCCACTTCTGCTCTCCAGAGACTTGAGCTTTGGAACCTTTAGGCTTTGTTCTCTCAGAACTGGGATATAAATACCTACCCCTACAATGGATCGGGGCCTTTCTCAAGGCAAGAGGGAAGCATGGGTGACTCATCCACGGTCTTCATTCAGTCAGATCTCATGTACATTTGATGTAGGAACCACAAGGGTGTGCTTTTAGAGACTTAAAAAATACTGTGTTTTCTCTCTTAGGATTCTCCCCCCCCTCGAGTATCATGGAAGACACTGTGGTTTGTGATTTTCTTGCTAACTGGAGGAGCCAAGGCTTTTGGGGTGTGGGCTAGCAGAGGCGGCCGAGTGGGGCAAGAGCGTACCCCCAGCCTGTTCTTACGTTGCGGTTACTTTTACGCCAAAACACCCCTTCAGGGTTACTCATGGTGAGGGTCTTAGTTGCAAATTACGATTTTCTGGTGACCTCCATTGAATCGAAGCCTCCAGAACTCAAAATTATAAACGTTTGACATGCAGTAAAGGCCACCTCGTCACCCCGAAGCAGCCCTGGCTGCAACAGCTAGCTGCTGTCATGGCCGTGATTCGGTCGAGCTTAGATCACATTTTGTGTTGGAGAGAATGTTCTGGGCAAGTTCTGTGTGGTGGGCTGGGGGCGGGCAGAGACGTCCTTTCTCCCAGACCTTTGTGATGGCTTCATGGGACTCGCTTCCCGCTTCCCGTGGGGGCCCAGCCGTCAGTCTGTCTCCTACAAGTCCTGTCCGCTCAGGATGGCCGCCGCCTCGGGTTTTCACGCCAGCGGGCAGCAGGTGGAGCTGCGAGGAGCGGTGTTTGTGAAACCAAATTGTTTTCCTATTTTTAAAAACAAACAAAAAAACAAAACCTAATGTGTAAAATCAGTTGAGCGTGTCTGTAACACCAGGAATGGCAGAGAAGTCTGACGTGGACGAGACAGCTTCACCACGAATCGTGGCAGGTAGTACATACCATGTCCAGTTCACTAGCTGGAGGCTGGAGTGGCTGAGAAAGCCCTGGTTTGCTTCGAGCCCCAGGTGTGGTTGCCTGTCTCGTAACTGAGAACACAGACAACTCCAAGGCTGGGGAGTCACCGCAGGTTGTGTGTGTCCTCCCTGTGAGAAACCTGGTGGACGGTCGGCTTGGATCTCACCACATGTCAGGGTTTGTTCTTACACAGCACATCTTAAGACACTTTAAAGTGTGTGTGTGTGTGCGTGTGCGTGTGCGGGTGTATGTGTGTGTGTGCAAGGTTTATGTTGCTGTTATTTATTTACAGACTTTATAAGGTTTTATGTATTTTTCTTTCTTCCGGAGCTTCCTAAAAAGTGATTAGCATCTGCACTGAAATATAATTTAACAGCAAAGGCAAAAAAGAATTGGAAGTTGTAAATTCCTAAAATCACTACAGTAACGATCCTTCTAGAAATCGTTGCTTATGTAGCAGAGACCAAATAAATATATTTCAGATACAACCTTTAGCTCAGTTGATTTTGGACAGCTGCTTTTTATCAAGACAGGGCTCCAGGTGGCAGAGGCACCGACTTCCTCCTGCACTGGCAGGAAGACGGTGCACCTTCCACGGGGGAAAGGGGATGGATTATAAATGGGCAAGGGGATTAACAGATTATGTATTTATTTGTTTTCATAGCTAAGTGGCTGAAGCCCGGAGGCTTTCAGCAACAGAGTTGAAAGTGTGGTTTTTAGTTTTGTGAATGGATGATCACAAAGAAAAAGCATTTTTTAAAAAGTTGGCAAAACGCTGAAACGCCCTGTGGTATGAAGCGCATTGCGTATCCGTAGCACTGAAGTATCCATTTTCCATTCCTGGGCTGAGATTTTTTTCCCCGTGGTTGTATTGTTCTGATTTCACGTACACCAGAGTAACTGATTTTTTGTTTTCTTGTGGAGTTAACACCAAATAAAAATTTCGAAAAACAGTTGGTTGTCTTTGTTTATCATAGCAAAGAATCTTTTGTAACGAGCCCCAGCCTTGTCTTAATGACCTGCGTCAGGAGAAGATAGAAAGTGCCCAGGTCACATCATTCCAGATGAAGGGGATTTAGCTCTTACAGGCATTGCTCAAGATGCTGGCATTCTGCTTTGCTGGAAAAGGAGGACGGGCCCTGCTGATAAACGAGTCGCTCCCCTCCCCAACCCCAGCTCCTACCTGAATCCTGCAAAGAACACAGCATTTTTGTCTGTAGGTATAGACAAAACTTCCATCTTTTTGTCATGGAAAAAAAAATTTATTAACAGGATCAGTGTTCATTGTAGAAAAAGAAATCCATGTGTTTTTAAAATATAAGGGAAAACTGGGGTGCCTGGGTGGCTCAGTCGTGGAGCGTCTGCCTTCGGCTCAGGTCATGGTCCCAGGGTCCTGGGATCGAGCCCCGCATCGGGCTCCCTGCTCGGCGGGAAGCCTGCTTCTCCCTCTCCCATTCCCCCTGCTTGTGTTCCCTCTCTCGCTGTCTCTCTCTCTGTCAAATAAAATCTTAAAAAAAAATATATATATATATATATATAAGGGAAACTCCTCTGCGCTGCCGCGGCCGCCGGAGCTGACCTGCTCCCGTTTGTGCCCAGCGCCTTCTAGGCGTCTAGCTGAGCGTCTGTATGCCTAGAGCGCGCGCTGTGGCGGGGCCGTGCTCTCCCTGCTCTTCGGGACCTCAGAACACGGCCTCCCGCAGACGTCTCCTCGTGACTATAGGCATGCCTCAGTGTTTTGTTTGTTTGTTTTGCCTCTGTTGGAAGCGGACTTCCTTTCTCTCCCCATCTGTAAGCTGATCCTCAGCTTGGGTTATGTCAGGCAACTATCTCCAGTTAGCATTTGTCTTTCACCTGGGGCTGAGGACAAGTGGATTCTATAGAGAAGCATTTCAGTGTTGTTTTTATCCTTTTTTTTTTTTAATGGTTTCTGGGATGTGTGTGCATGTTTTTAAATGCTTTCTTCACCTTGAAAGAGTATAAAGATATACTTCCGTGTTTTTCTAGAACCCATATACTTCATGTAGAGTAGATTTTTCTTTCTTTTTTTTTTAAGTAAGCTTTTTGCCCAGTGTGGGGCTCGAACTCATGGCCCTGAGATCAAGAGTCACATGCTCCTCCGACTGAGCCAGCCAGGCGCCCCTGTCGAGTTGGTCTTTGAAACACGTAAATTATATACAAGGAGTGAGGCTTAAGGCTTCAGCCTCCCTTTTCCCGGCTAGTTGGCCAGCTGCCCCAACTTGGTGTGTGATCACGGCTGACTGCCTGCGTGTGGCCCGAGTCTTCCTGGGCACAGCGGCAGTGCCCGGTTGGACGGGGAGCTCCCCTCCCGGAACTGCCTGAGGCAGGACTGGAGGGTGTTCGTGCAGCAAGGTGGCCCCTTGTTCGGGGTCGATAGGTCGTCCGTGTAAGCGGAGATCGTAACAGGACCTCCTGTAGGGTAGGTTTGTAAAGATGAAACAGCACAGCCAGAACACAGAGTCGGGGAGACGCGGTCCCGTCCTGGGGGTGTCCTGGGGGTGCGGCCCGGAAAGAAGCAAAGCCGGAAGTGCAAAGGAGAAGCTGCTTGCACCCCAGTCGGTAACTCTCAGAAGAAAATCACGTCCGCAGGCTGCCCCTTCCTTCCCTCTTCTCCCCCCGCACGGTGGGGGGTGGCAAAGGTGGGGGGGCGAGCAGAGCCTCAGGGTCAGGCCCTGCAGAGGCCAGTGCGGCTAGGTGCTGACCGTGGCCGTGTGGCTGCCCTGGCCTGCTCTCTCCCTGACAGGAGGTCACACTGTCCCCCGTCAGACAGGAACCCAGCTGCCCTGGGCGGCTCCAGCTCCGGGTGGTGTCTGGGCCAGGGGGCAGTGGCTGGGGCCACGGCACAACCGGGTGTCCCCTCAGAGCCGAGTCTGGGGTAAGGGGCCAGGCACGTGGCCTGCTGCAGCTCAGTCAGACGCTGGGCCTGCCACTTGGTGTCACAGTCCAGGGGACCTCTCGGGGCCTGTCTGGGGAGGTGCGAGAGGCCCCTTCTTTTGGCCTGCCACCCAGCAGGCCCTGGCCTCCCCCGAACAACCCAGCCTGCAGTCACAGATGGGGACGACCGCCCTCAGCTTCCAGATGAGGGGGGTTGGGTGAGCTGGTCCTCGGCCGTCCCCCAGCCCTGTGACCCTGGGTGTGCATTTCAGGCAAGGCTGGTGACAGGCAGGTCAGGCTTCCTCCTCACCGGCCCGAGGACAAGCTCCAGAGCGTGCCTCGCCCTCCCCTCTGGCTTCTCTCCCCCCACACATGCTTCTCTCTGTCCCCACACACCCCTGCATCCTGAGCCAGTCCTGGAGGCCAGCTCCGGCCCCCGAGGGGCTCCTGCTCTGACCCTGCTGCTCCCTCAGCCAGAGTACATTGACCGCGCGCCCACCATCCAGGGTCCTTCGCAGCCATCCGGGCTTGTCCATTGCCCCAGCTTGTGCCAAAGGCCCCAGGCCGAGTCCGCTACTGGCTCCTCACTCTCGGGTCTGGGGCCCACCTTCCCACCACTGTGGCTTCTACTCTGTCCTTCAGGCCCCCGGGCAGAGCCCCCACAGGAACTCGGGCCGCTGTGGGCCTGACCTGCTGGGAGAGGTTGTTGGCCCAGCCGGGGGGCGGCTTCGGGCACATTCTCCCTTTGCTGAAGAGAAAGCAGCATCGAAGGAGCCCCAGCCTGAGTGCCCTAAACCCCAGGCTCGAGCGACCTCAGGGCTCCCAGGGGTCACTGAGGACCTTGAGCAAGTCCTGCCCCCTTCTGGGCTTGACTCTGGCCCTTCTCACAGACCTGGGGCCCCAATTCCTGCTCGTCACAGATGTCAAACATGCTCACGGCCGCCTCCCACAAACCGCAAGCTGCAAGCCAGTGATAACGGACAGCCCAGCCCCGTGGCTCCCCAGCTAGGCCGCCTCACTCCAGCCCAGTGATCACAGACCTGGGAACTGCTCAGAGACATTAGGGACCCCCAGCTGACAGAACTCAGCGGTGGCAGACCTGGCCCTGAGCCCCGCGCTGCCCTGTGCTCATGCTGTCCCCTCCCCCACACCTGCACCTGTCTCGATGACCACCCTTGGGAGCTTGCATTTGCCTGGCAGCTCCCCCACCACATAAGGCCCTAACCAGGGTGCTGGGTGAGCCTCTTTCCATGCAGTTGGGGGGCCCTGGGCTCCCCCTCCCCGCCTCTTTCACCCCCTACCTGTGCTTCCCCTTCCTGAGTGGGGGAGGAAGTGAGAGACCTGGACCTCTGGGTGACTTCCTCATGCTGAACCTGGGCCCCCCACTCGCACATGCTTCCCCCAGACTTAATGCCGTCACATGTGACGCTGTTACCTGGACGAGGCTGGCAAGCAGTGGAGCCTCATTGCCTACTGATCTGTGCCTTGAGCTTACTGAGTCCTCACAGTGGAAATGGCGACTGCAGGTTGGGGTCTTTTGGGGGCTGGGGTGTCTTGTTCATGTTGGCATGAAGCTGCTAATTAGGAGGAAAGGAGGTCTCTGGGCCTTGGTCATAAGCGGGGTTTGGAAACATTCATTCATTCAACAGATCGGTATCAAGATCCTACTATGTGCTAGGCCCTAACCCTGATGCTGGTAATAAATTATTGTTTTTCTAAATCAGTAAACCTCCCGCAGCCCTGGTTCTCTGGGAAGAAAGCTCTCATCACATCCTCTTCCATCTCTCCAGCCCACCTGAGCCACGGCCATTCTTGAGGGGTCTGAAGGGAAGCGTGAGGATGCCTCCAAGTCCAGGCAGCTCTTTACATCTGGAGACTTCCTTATCTTAACCCCCAAGTTTCCCTGCCTGGCGGCCGCTCAACCCCAACCAACTCACACACCACAGGAAGACCGCACGCTGGGGGGGGGGGGGGTGGGCAGGGTGAAGTGGGTGAGGCCCTGCTCTGCCCTGACCAGCTGAGCAGCCTTGCCAAGGTCAAGGGCATCTCTGGGCAGGGCACGGGGAGGAGGGAGGTACGACCATTGATTCCACACACTCAGGGGGCGTGGCCCTTCCTGCAGGACGAATAACACATTTCATCCCAGAGAGACTGCCGAGCCTCCGTCTCCACCCATCACTGCAGATGGGCTGCTGACAACAACGTGGTTTCCTCCGGGGCAGTGTCTGGCTTTCCGGCCTGGCTACAGATCCCAGAAAGCTGGGCAAGCCGCTGCCTGGGCACAGCCTCCCTGGGCCTGGAAAACCGGATGGAGTGTGCAGTGGGGAGCCTCCACTTACCAGCCCGATGGAGGGAGGCCACGTGGCGCAGCTGGAGGAGCCCAGGGCTGGGTCCAGACTGCTTGGCTCTTCCGCCACGTGGCCTTCTGCAAGCCATTCACCCTCTTGAGCCTCAGTTTCCCCCTCTGTACAACTGGCAAAGTGAGACCGACCGCCAGGCTGAGCAGGAATAATGTACCTGCACGTATAGGGTGGTGGATAGGTGCTAATTCCCTCCGTAGTGGCCGCCCAAGTCAACTGGTCAGACCATCCCAGAATCTCTGGTTAGTTTGTCGGAGTCTGACCGGCAGCGTCCAGGTGGGTATGGCGGGGGTGGGCACCGTCATTTGGGAAGAGATGGAAATAGGGAGGTGGCGGGGGTCAGTTTGTAAGAGGCCTTGAATGGCTCTTGGGAAAGGCTCATCCTGGAGGTAGCAGGGAGCGTGGAGAGGTGTGAACGAGCCCCATTTGTGTTGAGGGTACAACAGTGGTCTCTGAGGTTGGGCAGGGATGTCAGAATCAGCTGACGCCCAATACTCTTCTAGAACTTTTATAGCTTTTTTTTTTTTAAAGATTTTATTTATTTATTTGAGAGAGTGAGAATGAGAGAGAGCACATGAGAGGGGGGAGGGTCAGAGGGAGAAGCAGACTCCCCGCCGAGCAGGGAGCCCGATGCGGGACTCGATCCTGGGACTCCAGGATCATGACCTGAGCCGAAGGCAGCCGCTCAACCAACTGAG